ACTCATAGTAACCTGCAATGTAATTTAAAAAGGAAAACAGATTTAAATGATTAGCAATAAACAATCACCAGTGCTGAAGGAAGAAAATATGCAAACATTGCAAACAGCAGTAGAATGTTGATTACTGAGTGATTTGCATCCCTCAGATCACATCTGAAATCCCTTTCTAAAGCTAGAACTGTGGTGTTATTCTGGTTTGGTCTGGAGAAATTGTGGGTCTGGAGACCAGCTACCAGAGAGACCTGGTCCACTGATTTTAATTTGTGCCTTCAAATTCAGGGATGAAAGATTTAAATATTCAGAGGAGAAGTTTAGAAACCCTATCTTACAAAAAGGGATAAACACAGACATACACATCACCTGGTTCCTATTGAAACTTGAATAATTTTGATCTTGAGAATTGAGATGCTGGCATTTAATTAAAAACTAGATGTGTCCTCACAAGTCTCTCAAGCAAAGATCGGAGCATAATCTGCCATAATTTATGCAAATTTTCAGTGGCCATTGGATCAGTTGTTCCACTGTTAGCTGACTGCACAGTACCCATGAAGTCCTAGACAGTGACCCCAAATTAATTTTAATACACATGGTTTGAATAAATAGTGATTTTGTGATTACTTGGAATTAACAAAATTGAGGGGGGAAAAGTAACAGAGAATCATATAAAATATTTTTTTAATCATTAAGGAGAAATGGTACAGAAAGGAACAACAGTCACAAAAAACCTCTTGTATGAATGTATGTATAATTAAAATGTCTCAGAGGAAATGTACTTAAAACATCTGCCTTGGACCACAATTGAGAGAAGTCATTATAACTTTACTTTCAATTTGTTTAACTCTTCATTCAATGGGTCATAAGATCAAAATACAGTTTATTCTGAAACTGAATAACATCTTATCTTTTCTTACAATAAAAATCATATTGGCTCACACTTGAAGTCTCCCTGAAACCAAATTTCGTCAAACATTAATATTTCTTTAGAGTCTACTTTCTTCAAGTGATGCTTTTGCTGAAAAATTTGACAGACACTTCTCCAAAAGCATTTGCGCTCCCGAGACAGTAAATATACGACTATCTTTTGGAAGATAACTTCATTTCAGATGTCTTTTAAACCATTGTCAGTTTGAGATACAGAGATTAATCCATCTCAAAGCTCAGGTTTATCTTAACCACAGGATATATCTCATTTCTCTAAATCTCAAAATCCCTCCAGCGCAGCCTGAGTAAGGAAGAAAGTGGTTTCCTTCCTAACTGCTTGTTTTCCTTCAGGCAGCCCTGTCTTTACCTTAGCACTTAGTCTATTACCTTCATCTCTTAACTCCATCTGTGTTTTATTTAAAGATAAGGGCAGTTCAAAGGAAGGTGTTCTTACACAGCCCCAAAACAAGTTTTGAAGCAGCCTGTATTAACTTCAGACCACAAGACATGCATTTAGGTGTGCTTATCTTTCTCACTTTCACAGGCGTATGGGACTGACAGTCGTAAGACCTGGAGGAAGCCTCCAGAAATGCATACAGCCTTCTGTACAAAAGGGTTCATACTCCGAATTGAAACCATTAGTCAAGAGTGCTTTGTCTATTAGTTTTCTTGCAGTGAGTGATGTACTTTGAAATTCTGTGTTATAATGTGTAGCAGTAAAGGTATAAATTTCCCATAGATACAAAAGAACTGTGTTCAGAGGGATTGGAGGTAAAGATTACTGCTGCAAGCTGAAATCATGGGGCAGGACAGTGGGACACATGATGGGTTTTGGATCAACTCTGGCTCTGCATTTCTGTCTTAAAAGCCCACGTGGGGTGAATTTGAATGAATGAGCAGGGCCTGTGCATGTGATACCAGAAACCAGATCAAAGAAAGAATGGGTAGGCGCTGAGAGGCAAGTGAAACTCTCCTAAGAATACATAAGGTCAGGAGACTCTTAGTCCTACAAGAAGAGAAAAACTCAGAACATCAAGATTCTCAAGTCTCTCAAGGCCACAAGCAGTCATGATACCAGGTAACAGTCACTAAGTGTCTGAGTGTGAGGCAATAACTGAGCATAATGTGTGAATTGTTATCGGCTATTAATAATAACAGCTTGATTCTACTAATAGTCTAACTAGTAAGAAGTGATCTAATAGATGTTAATTGTGATCTTTTTCTCTCCTGACTTGAATATCAACCAGGAAAATTTGCAGATTTGCTCATGAAATCAGCATGTCCTTGCTTGACTCTCTAGGACTAGCACAGGCTCATTAAAGGTTGCCTGCCTGAGCCCCATCTGTACCTCATTGACCAATAAATATGCCACTAATCCTGCTCATTGTACCTTCACTGACCTGCCTTCTTTGCATTGTGTTGATCATACTACAGGGAAGCCTGAGATGTTGCATATCCTCAAGGTAGAATTTGTTGTCAAGTACCAGATTAAAACGCTATATGGTCACTATGGAGTAAGGCCTTTGTGTCTGCTCTACAGCAATCTTCTCTTGCGTCTGCAGCAAAAGGATGATTTATTCCGAGGGTCTCTTGGGGTAATTCCTGAAAAATGGAGAAGGATTTAAGGGAACCATTGTAGTTATCAAATATACCTTGTGCTGAATGAAACATGCTCAATAATTATTTTCAGTGATTATGACCTTTGCCATTACTGCAAAAGTTTTCTGTCACCATTTTTACTCAGAGCTAATTCCAGGACCTTATTTTTCTCATTGTTAGAAACCTCCTTGTGACATCCAGTCTTAAATGTCTTGGTCACAACTTTATGCTTTTCTTTACATTATATAGTCCTTGTCCCAGTTAGTGTTGACCTGTCTCAAAATACTTAGAAGCAAAAGTCTGTTTTGTTAGGCTGACAACTTTTTGAAGTCTCTTCATTACCCTTTGAGTGTAAAATGGACTTTGTATACATCTGATCAGCCCTGAAGGCATTCTTTGCATTGTTCCGACTCTAATGCATCATTTTGGTAAGCAAAGTATTGTGTTCAGTTTCTTGTGCAAAATATCTCAGAGTTGTTCTGCTGTTTCCTGCTTGATTTTCCCAGAATCATAGTACCATTTTAGTTAGCAAAGATGTTAGTATCATCAAGTCTAACCATTAACCTAGCACTAAACCCAAAGACCTGTGGCCCTAAGTGCCTCATCTACATATCTTTGAAATAAATCTGTGGATGGCAACTCAACCACTTCCCTGCTGAGTCTGTCCTAGTGCTTGACAGCCCTGACAGTGAAGAATTTTTTCCCAGTATCTCACCTGAGCCTCCTCTAGCACAATGTGATGTAATTTTCTTTCATGCTGTCTGTTCTACATCCATGGTCACTGGCACGTACCTGGCTACCTGGACACAGTGCCCATAAGAGAGGCTCTGGTCATCAAGTGCCTGTACTCTGAGAAACAGATCTTACTCTAAAGGCTTCCTGGAGTGAGTTTAAAACATCAGTGAGAATTGAGTTGGTGGACATCAATCAGCAAAGAAGAGTGCTAAGTGAAACCACTGAACCTCAGTATAGGAACTGACATGACAATGCATACCTTACCTATCTCTCATTAGCACATCTGTAGTGGGATTTTTCCCCACCCTGACCACATTTCCAACGGAGTGGCAGTGACTTTTTGGTTTTCAGAGGTCCGTATCAGGTAGCAGAAGCAGGATGCTCTGCAAGGGAAGGTCACCAAAGAACTGAAACTGACAGCAAACCAGGTGTGAAGCAAGATCCTCACAAGAGTTGCAATCCCATAGGACTTGAACAAAAACAAGCTGTAGAATAGGTCAGCAACAGCAGCAAGGTTAAGCCAGTGGTCCAGACATAGCCAAGATCAAGCCATGAAGTCAAGTCAACAGATCAGGGTCAGGTATCAGCAATGTTCATGGCCAGACCCCAGCCTAGCCACCCTGTAGCTCTAGCAGAGACCACTGGCAATTGTCTGAGCTCCTGATCGAAGAAGAGGCAGCCTCCAGCCAGACTGTCTGTTCTTCCTCTCAGCTCTTTCTGCAGCACTCTGACCCAGGGCTATCCTGCTGCAAAGTTACACAGAACTTGAACAAACAAAGCCCAATGAGAAGGGGGAAGAGGTTGCAAAGATTGGTGTTCTAAGGACCCAACAGCGTGGATGTTACTGAACTTGGGACTCTGGATAAAGAGCAGATACATGTCATCAGACAAAAACAGGATGCTGTCAGTGTCATCAAGAGGAATGTGTGTTTAGACTGGTGTAAACAGCATTCTGCAACTTGTTCCAGTTAGCAGAATGAATCAAGTAGCCACTGTTTAATTAACAGCAGCTTTTATTTCCCTGAAGTTGCCATTCTAGAGTGAGTGAGAGAGGGTAGAACTACCAGCAGTGGTCAGCTGAAACAAAAAGAAACTCAGCAGAGGAAATAGGAAGGCCTGTTTGAAATTTGAATCCTAAGGAAGATTTTTTTTTAAGAGCTTCTGCCCAAAAATTTTTGACCAAATAAAGTAGCCTTAAGCCTGCCCCAAAGACAGAGAGGGTATAATTTTTTACTCACCAAACCTCCTTTAGTGATAAACACTGTTTCTGTTGATTGGAATACAATTTCTCCCAATGAGGCAGATAAGCTACAAATTAAAGGATTTTCTTGACTTTTTTTTCTTCTGAAGTCATTAATAAATGGCCAGTGTCCTGCGCTTTCATATTCCTTTATCAGGTGAGAAATAACCACTTTAAGCACTGCTCTCCCTGTGCCACCAGTGTTGGTCTCACAGTAAAACAATTCCGATGATGACATCAGATACACAATCATCCTTCATATAAGGTCACAAGTACACTTTTTGAATTTTATTGGAGGTTTTGACTCCTTCAGATTGGAGATTAGTCTGCTGATAATGTCTAAAAAGGTGAACAATATTTCTATTGGTTCCTTCAGGTAGCTCATGCTAGCACGTGAATCGATATATTTCCTCCTTCGTAGTCATTTGTGAGATATAGGAATGCCCAGCCAGAGTTTTATCTAGGCAGTGCCTGGAGAATGAAGTTTCATCCATCTGTGGTCAGGATGGCAACAAAAGGACATCTTTCTGCTCCAGTGCTGTGTTTGATTCTCCTCTCCATTCAGGTCTCCCTGGGTAAGTGCATACTTTATTTTGCATAAGGCTTTATTTTGCATAAGATTAAAAAAAAGTATGCAAATTTAATATAAATAGGTTGTTATTCTACCAACCTCTAAAGTAAAGTGACAAAAAGGTGTTTAAGTATGTATCTGATTCAATCTCCTTGGTAATCCTGAGATAAGGAAGGATAAGCCTTTTGTAAAAGTTTTGTATTTTATCAGTGACTGGCCATTCTCATAAGAATTCAAGTCCAAATTTTGTAAACAGTTTAGCTGTACTAAAAAACCAGCTGGGTATTCTTACTACTGTCTTATCTCTTCTGCTGAGCTCTTTGTAGACAGAATTAATAGTTCCAGGTCTTTGTTCAACACCAGTAAAAATGATATAGCTCTACCCTGTGTGTCCAGTGGAGTTTGGGTAACGCAACATCTCCTCAGTTATTTCTGTATATCTGAAGTTTATCACGATTTGTCCCTCTGCTCTTATGGAGCTATATGCTCATGCTTGATGCTGGTGATAAGAGACAGATTTTGGAAACCTCATTTTTTTCTCTCCACACATGGAGGTTACATTTTGGCATTGTGGTGGTGGTCGCATCCCCATATGATGGGAACAAGACTTCACGGTTATGTTTTGCTATAGCACAGCCCTAGTCTTGAAAGTTCTCACAAGTTGTGTGGATACAGAGTTCACATGGTAGGCAATAGAAGGCACTCTTGACATACATTTTCATAATATGAAACATTTTTTATTTAGGCACCTTTGTAGTGATGTTTTAGTGTCAACTGAGCTGTACTGCAGAAATGAGAGTGAGTTTTTTGCCAACTCCTTGTTAACATCAGGGAACAAAAACAAACTGACTGGAAGGTGCAGACAAGAGTAGCTTTACAATGACACCATCATCAGCACCTCTCATCCTCATCTCTGCTCTGGCAGCACTTGCACTCTCCGTGCTGCTACAGGAGTTCTGATGATCCCCAGGCACAGAGCACTGTGCAGAACAGTGCAGAAGTCACAGCCCTAAGGGAGTGAGCTGGCAATCTGCCCCTGAGGCAGCAGGCCTTGGCTGGAAACCTCCTCTTAGGGTCTCAGGACAGGAATGCATGGTGCACTCTCATCCTTTGCCTATGAGAAGAATTGGATTTTCAGCTGGAGCAAGCAAAAATCTCATGCCTTCTCAGCCAAGCAGAACACCAAACCACTGAATTCAATGAAGGTACTTGTGGGACATGCTTGTGGAGTGTGAGAAAATACAAAATTGTACATGTATGTATCATAAAAAATTCACAGAATAGTGATTACAGCAAATGATAGCTTTTATTAGGAAATATTTAAATCTGTCGATTGGTTTATGCCTACCTCTGCATCCAGTCTTGCATGCTGTTATATGTTGAAAACATCAGATGTACAGTTATTTAAAAATTCAGGTGCACAGAGGTCATACAGTTGAGTGGATAGCTGTTTGTTTTGCTCCTGGATATGGCTAATAGAAATTGATTATCTGGTACTTTAAAAATGTATTAGGAGTTCAACTTTTAGAATTCATTTCTCTTTTAAATGTATAAATGTTATAGCTGAGACAACTCTGGTTTTGGACTATGTTCTTCAAATAGCCTGGGGATTGTTCTCCAGAATATCTTTGTAGAGAGTTAGAAGACAGCACAGAAAGATTATGCTCCCTCTGAGACAGTATGTTGCAGACACAAAGTGGTTTTGTAGTTACCTGAGGATTGTGCTATGCATATGACTTTCTTACTCAGGAGACTTGAGGAGAGAGAATATTTTGCAGAAAAAATAGGTTTTGGAAGTTACCAATTGTCAGTCACTTGAATAAACACCTTTTTTTAAATTTGTTTCCAAATTTAAGTGATAGGTAAGAAATTGTGAGGAAATCCAGCAGTGTTAGCGAAGAGGTAAAGCCTTTGCCTGTGTATGAGAGGTGATCATGTGTCAAAGCCACATTGTCTGTGTCTGGTGAAGCAGTTACAGACCACATGAAGACAGAGGCAAAATTGCCTTCCAACTGACTACTGCTACCAGTTTATTCTGCAATAAGAGGTGAAACAATGGTTAGTTTTGGAAAGAAATGGCTGCATTAGCATCAGCTCATGGGTTAAGAATGAAACACTTGCAGTGAGTAGAGAGAAGAATTAGATTTACTTCCAAATGCAAAGAAAAATATTCTCATTTCACAATGTCAGACAACAGCAAGTTGTGTGATATGTAGAAATGCCTCTCTTTTGATGAAGAGAGGGAAGGTGATATTTTACATAAAGGATTATTTTTTAAAAATCTTAGAGGAAAACCCAAGGCTCTTAGTGTAAGTTATCTTTTGTCACTTCTCAAATGCTATCATCGATAGGAGATGATCTTCCTGGGCTATTTGCAAGATTTGCAGAGCTGCACTGCATTCCATCCACATCAGTGCCCAGTGCTGGGTCTGGATGTGTACTGCAGGTTTCTCTTGGCACCTGGTCACTGTGGCTGTGAGTGCAGATCAACAGGGCCCATGGCCAGGCATGGCTGTGCCAGAGTGGAACACAGATGCACCTCCCACATAGCACAGGCAGGGAGAGAAGTTCCAGGTCTGTGCTCATGGGCCCTTGGGCAGAGCATGTGGGTGGAAAACTCAGGGGAGGAAGGCCAAGGCCATTAAGGATTCTTAGTGCACTCAGGACATTGACAATCAAGTCAAACCTGTCCTGTAAATGTCTGCTTTAATATTCCATTGTGTGTCAGGTCTTGAAACTGTAAAAATTTGTGACCAAAGTTATTAGGCTTCTTATATGACTGTCCTGTAAACCTCCTTTAGCTATGTGGTCAATCTGAAAAATCCCCCAGGCCCAAAAGAAGTTGCCAGCCCTCTTCAGAGATTTACCTGTTCCATAGCATGCTGAAATGCAAACTTGATCAAACTGAAGACAAAAGTCAGGTGTAGTGGCCAACTTCTTCTTGTTTCCTTTGCACATTTAACTTGTAGTTTGTCCTTCACCTGGGAATACAACAGTCCTGCATGTGGTTTTCTACCATTTGATTTTCCACCCATTTCACGAGTATCGCCTTCCATGCTTCAAACAGCAGTGACTTAGATCCAGCTGCTAGTGAGGCTAACTTTTAGTCCAAAACAGATGTAATACTCACATACAAATATGCATTCACACACACCACAGCTGTACATGGCTGCCCACACAGACAGAAACATGCGACATGTGACACATGACACAAACATAAACAGCCCCAGTGGCCTTACAATGATCTATCTTAACTTCTGTAAGGCCTTTAACATGGTCCCACACAAGAGCCTTGTCATTAAATTGGGCATATGAGGGTTTGATGGATGGACTGTTCAATGGATAAGAAATTGGCTTGATGGATGCGTCCAAGGAGTTACAGTCAATGGCTCAATGTCCAAATAGAGATCAATAACAAGTGGTGTTCCTTAGGGGATGGGAACTGTTCAAAATCCTTATTATTGACATTGGTAGTGGGACTGAGTTCAGCCTTGGCAAGTTTCCAGAGGACACCAAGCTCAGTGGTGCAGCCATTGAGGGAAGGAATGTTATCCAGAGGAATCATGACAGGCTTTAAAAATGAGCCTCACCCCATGAAGTTCAACAAGGCCAAGTGCAAGGTGCTGTACCTGGCTTAGGACAACCATCAGGATCAGCATGGGCTGGAGGATGCATGGCTTGAGAGCAGCCCCATGGAGAAGGACTTGGGGATACTGGTGGGGACAAACTGGACATGAGCCAGCAATGTGCCCAAAGAAAGCCAACTTTGAGCTGAGTCTTCAAGTAGACCCCCTGACCTTACCACCTCTCCAGTAGCTGCTGGCCTGGCCCCTCTCGGTGCCTCTGGTAGCCAGCTCCTCCAGTTACCTCACTCCCAAAGACACACACACAGACTTGGCTTTCAGGCCAATTAACTCACAGGATAATGAAGCCTGATCTACTGTATCAATCACACACTGACAGGCAGTCTCCTCACCCACTCCAGCTGCCAGTGTTTATTATGGCAGGCTTTGTGAATCACAAAGCACTGACATTACTCAGCATCTCCCAGCCCTGATAAGTCAGTAAAGGAGAAAGTTTGCCTGTCATTAGAAGTAATTTGCATTTTAGCAATGCAGTTAGCTCAAACTTGTAAATACAGACATAACTCTTTGCAAAAAAACACTCTTTAAGTTGGAACTATTTAGAAAGGTGAACCAAATAAGTCTGATGTAAATTAGGAGCAATAATGATCTCATTAACATCTGCAATAGACAATCATGATTAAGCTCTGTCCTTTCTATAACCTTGCTCTGTCTGAAGGCGCTGATGAATTAAGGCTGTCAAATGGAACTGGTCCCTGCTCTGGAAGAGTGGAAGTAAAACATGAGGAGCAGTGGGGAACTGTGTGTGATGGTGACTGGACCATAAAGGATGCTGAGGTTGTCTGTAAACAACTACAATGTGGATTTGCTGTTAAGGCCCTAAATCGAGCTCCTTTTGGAGAAGGAACTGGACCAACATGGTTGTACCGAGTTGATTGCCGTGGTGATGAATCTGCTCTCTGGAACTGCACACATACAGGATGGGGTGCTTTTACCTGCCCTCATTACTTTGATATTGGAGTAATCTGCTCAGGTAAGAAGAGATCCAACCTTGTATAATAGAAAAAAAGATACGAGCCTGGGATCAAACTTCGTCCTAGTTGGGTAAAGCCAAGTACTCGCTCTACTCATCCAAAGCAAGTTGCTCCAGCATTAAGTGTTCTGCTGACTATGAGTGCAAGCTGACTTTGCCTGGGCACAGCAATGACATAGAATGAGCATATTAAGTTACATAGAACAAAAAAAACCACTATTTGTTTCTACTACAGCTCTCCCAAGCAACAGGAGAGCTGTACTGAACTTGTCTTTGACTGGGAATGGGGCTAAAAAAGCAGTTGTGGGTAGAGAAGCAAGAAAATGCAATGTTATGTCATACAACTGCCCTTCTCCATATCTTCAGTAAGCTGAGACACAACAGTCTGCAATGGCAAAAAAGTCCAATATCTGTCTGGCTGCTTCCTGTGCAAGATGGGCATGGTTTTACTCTTTGGAAAAAGAACCACTGCAAGAGGTTTTTCCTTCCCAGCTTCAGGACTTTACGTTTGTCCTTTTCTGATTTTTGTAAGGTTTCTATCAGCCCATTAGTCTAGCCTGTTTAGATCTCCCTGAATGGGCAGCCCAGCCCTCATGGTTATCTCCCCACCTCCCCAAAATTGTAAGCATGTACTCCATCACCACCTCCATGAAGACAAGACATGAGCAGAACAGGCCCCTGGAAAGACCCAACAAGTGATATTCCACTTGCTGACAGTCTTCAGGTAGAGTGCAACTCACTAATGACTGAGCCTGACCATTCAATCAGCTGCTTAACCAAGTTGTCCTTCCAGCCAGACAGTAACATCCTAATTTCTGAACATAAGAATATTGTGCAAGATAATGTTAATGGCAGAGCTAAATGTGAGGTAAATGACTTGCTGCTGTCCTCTCATTCATAAATCCATTTTAATCAGAAGTCCCACAGGCATGATACACACTTGATAAAACCATGCTGACTCTTCCCAATCATCTCCTTATGCCCACAAATTATTTCCTAGAAGTCTCAGTCTATGTTTTTTCCAAGTACCAAAAGTAAGGCTGGTCAGCCTGTAGATCTCCAGACTGTCTTTTTAGCAATTTCTGAAACTGGGTGCAACATTTCCTGTTTCCTCTTCCTGGGGTGCTTCAGCTTCCTATTAATTGAAATAATGAAGTCTCAAGGACAGATACTAGTAAATGGCTATTTGTCTATTTATCTTTTTGGGGATTGCTACTTCTCAGTCATTGGCAGATGTTCAAAGCTTTCTTCCTTCTTTCACGAGGATTTTGTATTTTCACATACTGAGAAATAAGCAATCCCATACACCACTTTCTTTTTTATCAGTGCTATATAGGAATTGCCTCAGTCACAATTAAAAAGTAGCAGTGGTCCTCATAGAAGTGAAATGTGTCTTGCCCATTAAGGTACAAGAGTTATGAAAACAGGTCAGTACAACCAACCCTTGATGCTGGATTTCTTTTTTTTGTTTGTTTTTTCCAGGCTTCTCTGATCTGCGTCTGACTGGAGGGGACACTGCCTGCTCAGGACATCTGAAAGTAAAGCTAGAAGAAACTTGGGCGACTGTCTGTTTCTCACACATTGATTTCAAAACTGCCTCTGTTATATGTAATGAGATAGAGTGTGGCCAGGCTGTGGATACCTTGAAAGGAACTCACTTTGGAGACAGACATGAACTGATCTGGCAAGAACAGTTTCACTGCGTAGGGAATGAGACTCACCTTGCAGAGTGTCCCAGGAACATACACCATACTAACACGTGCTCTCATGATGCCACTGTTGTGTGTTCAGGTGAGACTTTGGACTGATGGACATAATTCACCCGTGTTCTGTATGCCTTCTTCCTGTTAAGCCACAGTTCAGAGCATCTGTACACTTCTGTGGTCCTCAGGATCCTTGGATGCTTCCCCTACCATGCCTTGAGCTACTCAGGGGGACAAAAAATAACAGAGAGCAGCCCTACAATGTCTCATTCACTCTACCGAGAGTCTGCATCTAACATGGGCTGTTCTAATCACTTCACTACCACACAGAGACCTCAAAAGGGCTGTTATTTCCTTTATGCTATTAGAAATGTGCACTCAACAGTCCTAAGAATGATCTACACACCCTTCTCTTATGAATAAAAGGAAAAATGGCCAGAGCAGACAAGAAGGAATATCGAGACATTAATTTATTTCCTGTGGTGCCAGTGTGTATGTTAATCCCTGGCACTTCAGGTAATTATAAAACTGGAAGAGGTACCATATATCCAGAAGGTTGAAGGAGGCACAAGTTACAAATGTAAGTTATTAAAAAAAAAAGAGAGAGAAGAAAAAAAAAAAAGGCTGTCAGAGGCCTAGATGACTTTCATCGTGACTGGAAGGGAACATTACTTAAGAACTCCATACAGACATGGCTGCTGGGGGCTCTGAATACAGCTATGTATTGCCACCCACTGAAAAAGTGAAGATTAGCAAACACAACTTTTTTTCCTGAGGCCACAGTTCTAAAGGGGTAAACTAAACCTGGGGCAGAGCTGCTGGCAACAATCTGACACAAAACAAGCCTGGAAAAGGGCTGGAGTTTCATGTCCACTTCCTGCCCAAAGGGCTTCAGTCTGTTTCAAGACTGCCTTGGACACTGTGACCAGTGGCAGCCAAATACCTCAGTTAAAGCATCTAACAGACCTTGGCTCCTGCCTCTATCTTGCAAGAGTCTTAGCTCAGAGCTGAAATCCTGGGCTCATTAGGGGTAGATTGCAAGGACAAGGTAAGGGTAGAAAGTAGCAGTGTGAGAAGACAGAGGGATTGCATGGGGCTGGCAGTACGACACCACAGCTCCATCCATGCCACCCTTAATTTATTGGGAATATGCTGATGGTTATGGCCTATGGTGTTCAGAGCCTTGCTCTGGGGCATGGATGAAAGCTAAGAATTCCCCACTGCAGTTTCTGCTTACCAGGAAATGTGACGTGACCAACTACTGGGAGAGAGAGTGATACCACTTGCTCCCACTCTGAGTTCCTCACATTCGAGGCAGTGCTGAAACTGCCTCTGCAAGAGAAGATGTTGCAAGGTAGCAGTAGTATTGTGAGGGGAGGAGAGAGCAGAGCAAAGAGGAGACACTGAACTTAAAGAGTCAAAAGACTTTTAGTCATACAGTGAAGGCTACAATATGGACAAATAAAGACTTTTTTCAGAGCTGGCTAATCATCATTCTGTTCTAAGATGGTTTCCAGTAACCTGACACATAAACAAGTGCTAGTTTCTTGCAGACAGAGAGAGCTCTCTTACAGTACAGTACTCTTATACCACAAAAACCCAAAAGCAACTGCTAAGCTCCTTTATTTTCTTTCTGCAGGCTACGGCGGGTACAGGCTGGCAAACGGCACTACCACATGTTCAGGGAGAGTAGAGCTTCTTCATGGAGGCACATGGGGAACCCTGTGTGACTACCTGTGGGATTTACCAGCTGCCAATATCCTCTGCCAGCACCTAGACTGTGGAGTTGCCCTACTGATACCAAGTGGACGGTCCTTTGGGGAAGGAAATGGATCTGTCTGGAACGGCACATTCAGCTGCCAGAAAAATGGCTCACTCCTGAGAGACTGTCCCGTGCATGCTCTAGGGCATGATGAATGCCCTGCTGGAAAAGAGGCCCGTGTGGTATGTTCAGGTGAGCAGTGGAAAGGCCTAAGAAGAGAACTGAAAAACTGCTTCTTTTGAGGAAAAATATGGACTCAAAATTCAGAGGGCGTATATGGAGTCAGGCTCTGTCTTTTGACTGCTGCAACAGGCTGTACTTCAACTGTACCACAAGGCTGCTCTCTCTGAAATGCTCCTAGTGTCAGGTAACAGCAAGAGCAGGGCTGCTGCACAAGACAGGAGGAGCTAGGCACAGAGGCTGAGCACAGCACAGGCAGAGTCCTTGCCACCAAGACATAATCCAAAGCATCTGCACAGAGGAAGGTACTGGTAATAAGATCTATGAGCAGTCTCAGAGAAGTCAAAGCAAACAAAGAGATGTAGGGTGTGGCTGGAACAGGCAGGCATAGCATGAGGCAAGACTGGAGATGGTTGTACCTGTCATGTACTTGAGGCAGGGACTGAATTCCTGGTCCAGGTTTAAGTGAGGACTTGGACCAGCAGTTGAAGGATCCAAAGCTATTGGCCCTCGGTGATGTTGGTCTGGAAAATTAAGGTCTATCGGTTGACCCTGTGCCCCAAAACCTAGTGCCCTGATTTTAAAAACTGCAAATGGATCTGATCCTGAGTTCTAGTCATTCTTTTCAGTAAAAGTAAAATAGGCTAGTAAAATAGGCTGAAGTCTAGTTATGCGTATGGCCCAGTAAAGTCATTTTTACTACTGAATGGTAAGGAAAACTCATTCCAATTTCCCAGTCACTTCCAGGTCCTGCCCATGAGCAGTTGCAAATGTAACATTCCAATATTCCCTTTCTCTTACATTAGGGTGTCCAGGGGGTAGGTTGGTGAATGGCACCACATGCTCTGGCATAGTGGAGATCCGTCATGGAGACACGTGGGGAAGACTCTGCCACTCCCACTGGAATTTGCAAGCTGCCCATGTTCTCTGCCAACAGCTGAACTGTGGCTATGCAAAATCAATCCAGATGGAAGACAGTTTTGTGGATGGACATGGGCCTATATGGAGAGATGCTTTTCACTGTGAAGGGACCGAGTCCTGCCTGTGGGATTGTGCTCAAGTGACTTTGGGCAATCCAACCTGTTCAGCCAAAGAAGCCGCCACTGTAACTTGCTCGGGTAAGTCAGGAGTGGCCTTTTATGGGTGGTGCAACTTCAGACCAAAGCAGTGCTGGTGATCTCACTGACAGATTCTAGTCTTTGAGGTGGGGAAGCCTTTCTCGCTTCCCATTGCAGACCCTTGAGTGCATGAAAGCAAACAAAGCCTTAACAGAGGCAGCCTCCTTAATCAGTGGTGAGAATTAATATTTTACCAGAACAGAAATTTGTCTTCCACTGCTTTCCTGCAAGTTATTTCTACTGCAGTGAGATAAGTAGATGTTACTCAATATATTTCCCAACTCTCTTGAGCCCAGGTCTTGCTGAATCACTCAGACTCTCAGAGGGTGAGAGCCGCTGTGATGGGCGAGTTGAGATCTCCCTCCATAGTGTGTGGAGCAGAGTCCTGGATGACGACTGGGACATTAAGGATGCCCATGTGGTGTGCAGACAGCTCCAGTGTGGAACTGCTGAGAAAGCCTATTACCTTCCAAAGTCTGAGAGAGGAATTGGTCTTGTTGGCCTAAGGAGTGTCCAGTGTACTGGAAACGAGACTCAGCTGATGCTCTGCAACACGTCCCATTATCACACAGTGCCAACAGGAGTTTCTGAAGACGTTGGTGTGATTTGTTCAGGTGAGTCACTGTGTGAAAGATACAGAATGTTTCCTAGGGTTTCTCCAGCCCACATTGTGCTATGGTGTCACAGATCTTAAGTCAGCATGAGTCTGGGCTTGATGATAGTTAAGGAAGCAAATGTAATTTACACAATGCTTTCTTCATCTGATTTTCTTACAGAATTATCTTCCAGAGTCAAAAAGAACTATTAGAACACAGAAGCCATAAGAACACTAACTTGGCTATGACTACCAAGCATTCTTACTGCCACTTGAGAATTAAATGCTTTTTTTTGGTGACATTCCTGTATTTATAGACACTTACAGCTGTTCTGTAGAATATTACAACTGTTTTTACTCTTCTCTGATTTTGTAACCCATCTGTAACAGGAACAGTGTCTGTCTCCAACTAAATTAGTATAGACCGAAACCAGGTTGTCTGGCTTTCTAAGATAAGGTGACCTCTGCATGTACTTAGTATGACTAGACACTTCTTGCTTGCAGTATCTCACAGGAATTATTCAAATATTCATGTGGTGCAGGAGGAGGCCTTTCCCTTTATGCAGCTTTAGCCTCACAGGGCTTCTGCCCAAGCAACCATAGCAGAAGAATTGGGATATAAGAAGAACATGATGTCTTAAAAGTGCTTTAAAAGTATTGCCATTATACTGACCTGTGCATTATAGTTGTGTTGCATGTTGACAGCTGGATTTTCTTCCTACAGGCAGCAGACAGATGAGGCTGGTGAATGGAACAAACCGCTGCGCTGGGAGAGTAGAGCTTTATCATTATGGCATCTGGGGCACCATCTGTGATGATAACTGGGATCTATCAGATGCCAATGTTGTTTGCAAACAGCTTGGATGTGGGCGTGCCATCGAGGCGTTTGTCTCTGCTCACTATGGCGAAGGGTCGGGGCAGATCTGGCTGGATGATGTCAATTGCACTGGGGCTGAATCTGATCTCTGGGCATGTCCCTCTAGGGCGTGGGGCCAGCACAACTGCCAACACAAAGAGGATGCTGGAGTCCTGTGCTCAGGTGTGTTTGGAAAACCCTTTTCTGAGCCTGTGGGTTCAAACAGGAGGGTTGCATAAAAGGGAAGTCGAGAATAGTGGGGGCTTGCTTGGACAGCCTCTTCCTATCTTCATGACAAGCACAGTTGGTCAGCACATCTTGGTCCTACCAAGATGCAAAAGATCTACAGAAGCCCATATTATGCACCAACACACACACACACACACACATACACACACACACACACACACACAAAGTCTGTGGTGTGTTAGGATATTTGGGGGATAAATTCGAGGAGTTTGTAAAGATTTCCACAGCAAGGGGCTGTGTGCTTATTGCAGTCAGTTACAGCAGGCTCTGAACACAAATGGGAACAACCCACTGTACACCACAGCATCAGACAATCCATGTAGCTTATGGTGGCTCTGCTCACACATATTTAAGACAGAATGGCAGAAGCAAGAGAGAGGAGAAATGAAAGAGAAGTGGAAAAAAACACTGATGACCCCTGAAGGGAGTGCAGCCTGTTAGGGCCCATGTTGGAGCCAACAGAAACCCTGAAAGGACTGCAGCCTCTGGAGCATCCATGCTCCACAATACAGGCAGAACCAATACAAGCAGTTAGCACTGTAAAAAAAGTGTTATTACACAGGCAGGAAAGCAACATATCACAAGAAGTTTGTGGCACTAATTCCATTTTCTTGCCTTCACTTCCAGATTTCCTGGCTCTGAGACTGGTGAATGGCAATGACTGTGCTGGGCGTGTGGAAGTTTTCTACAACGGGACGTGGGGCAGCGTTTGTTCCAATCGCATGTCCCAGCTCACCGCAGCGACCATGTGCAAACACCTGGGCTGTGGAGATGGAGGAGGAATAGCAACGGACTTCAAATATGGCAGAGGCTCTGGGCCCACGTGGCTGGACCACATTGAGTGCACTGAGCAGCACAGCTCACTCTGGCAATGTCAGTCAGACCCCTGGGATCCTCGGTCCTGCGATAACCGAGCCGAAGAGACCCACATTACTTGCATTGGTAATCAGAAATGCATTTGTATATGGCCAGACATGTACACTAAATTATGCATGCACATATGGACACCATAGTAACTACTTTGTGTTCACTTGTTATCTGGTGTATATTATTTCTAGTTTCATGAAAATGGCAGCAATGGTTTTTTTGTCTATATCATTGATTTAAATGCGTGAATTAAAAGCATGAGATTATCACAGAGTGCTGTGGCCCAGTGAAATCCTAGGGAATTCCCTAATAGGATGGTGCCACTGCATATTTTTGTAATGCAAAAATCTATGATACACAGTCAGTCTGTGAGATCTGAGTTAGGATGAGACTTCCCAATAGGTCTAGAGCCAAGTCCATGTTTCTATATGTAAGGAGGCATATCAGTGTATAAACATAGCCATAGACAAGTGTACAAGTTTGGTTCTAAAGGTCCATTTCTAATGCCTGCTCTTATGACAGTACTTCATATCTAGAGATATCAATATCTGTATTCATATATATATTCATGATGATAAAAATGAATTCTACATGACATTCAAATACCCTGAAAAGGATTGCAGCTGCCTCATGAGAAGAAGGAAAGCATAACCATCAGGAAGATTATTACTCACAGCAACAGCCAAATAGCCATCTGCCAAGAACTAAACAGGCCATACACATATTTCAGGAAATAATTAACCTGATGGTTAATTTTCAGGTATTTTGCACTTCCCCTTTTTTTTTCAGAGCATAATTAAATTATTTACTTCATTATTTAAATTCTTCAGGAAGAAAGGTGGCAACATCTCCAGCTGCATTTGCTGAGTGTCCAAATTCTACAAGTTGTTCAGGTACCTCCACCTCTTTGTTTTTCCTTATTGGTCACTGTGGACTTCCCTGCTGTTTCAGTAAAACAGAAGATTTCTGTGTTTTGCAGACAGGGAGAAGTTACGAGTCATAGGAGGAGAGGATGAATGTTCAGGCAGAGTGGAGATGTGGCACCAAGGTTCCTGGGGAACAATCTGTGATGACACCTGGGATGTGGCAGATGCCAACGTTGTATGCAGGCAGCTGGGCTGTGGATCTGCTGTGTCTGCTCTGAGTGAAGCTGCCTTTGGGGAAGGGACTGGTCCCATCTGGTTGGAGAAGGTGCACTGCAAAGGAACAGAGCTGTCTCTTTGGGACTGTCCTGCCAAGCCTTTGTTTGGCAAAAACTGTGATCATAAGGAAGATGCTGCTGTGAATTGCTCTGGTTAGTGACTGGTCTTTCATTACACAGGTCTGGGAAGGAGGTGGGTAGGGGAGCATTATGCCAACTGTACTTCCCAGTGACTATGCCCTTTCATAATTTTGACTGCAAAAACATTTCCCTATTTTTCACACTTGCTTCATCCTTAATCTGGACTCACCTTCCTTTTGCAGGTGTGACAGAAACAACAGCATCACCCACAAGAGCAGGTAAATTCTTTCTCTCTCTTTTCTTTCTCCCATCAAATGGCAATTCAATGTCCCTGATACTTAGCAGATAAAACAGCTGTTTATTTCAGCTCAAGAGAAAGCACTTCCCACAGCCTTTCATAAAGGAGCACTGAGTGGCACCACCCCCAGCTGTTGAATTTTATCTGCTTGAGCAGGACTCAGAGCAACAGGTGCCCTGCCTCACCCTGCTAGCATAGGCACAGCAAGGGGCTGCAGAGGGACAGCCCTTTGGGACACGTTTCCTCTTTGTTTCCATTCAGATCGTCCCCGCCGCCCTGCCACAGGCAGTACGAGATTTTCAGTGCCTGTCATCCTCTGCATTATCCTGGGGACCCTTCTCTGCCTGGTCCTTGCCATTCTTGCTGGGCAGATCCGACGTGCCAGGGCACAGCAGAGAGGTGGGTCTCAGGACTGGTATGAAATGCCTCCTTTACACGGCCCCAAATGTTTAGTTGGCTGGGAAGGCAGTGGGGATGGGTGACTGAGATTAACTGAATCTGTTGCCACACTGAGATTTTTTACTTACTTTCTGGCTTGAAAAAGCCCCAAGGTGTTTATCCTGTCAGCACCTCCTGGTGTCTTTCTAGGTACCAACCAGGCCATGTAGACCCCTGTAAGGCACTTCTCCTTTTCATGAGCCCAGCCTGAGTATGAGCAGAGACTGTGAAAGTGATCATTTTACCTTTTACTTTCAGGCTCCAGACTATCCTACGACCCTTTCTCCGAGGCTGTCTATGAAGAGATTGATTATAACCTGATGAGGGAAAAGCAGGGCATGACTTTCCTCTCAGGTCTGTGTGTGTGCCTTGCTTTTCTCAAGGGAAAGCTCCTCCTTTCTGATCCCAATCTGACACTTTGCAGCTCCCAAATCTACTGGGAAATTTAAAATTCCTGGATTTGAGGAGAGGAGTTTCCTACCCAGTGGACTCTGTCAATTCCTTAGCTAGGGACAATTTGGTTTGTGCAGTCCTCACTGCAGACACAGACCACAGATCACTATAGGTCAAACAAACAAACAAAAGCCTTTTGCTGCAATCCTTTAAAGCAGGGACAAATTAAGGACTAATTTACAATTCCCTCACAGCAGCTGGGTCTCTGTAGGTTTCCTCCCATGGATTGTTTTCCTCCCTTTGTGGCTTGCCTTCCCCATGATCCATGAGAGGCGTTGTGGGGTCTCTGAGGGGTTCTTGGTTATTCCATTGTAAGCCCTGCAGAAGTAATACAGACTGCCAAAGAGTGTGCTGGATTTGGATGCTATTACTATAGCCTGCTCTTTTTCTCATGGTGCAGTCTTAGCACTGAAGAAGAGTTTAATCTGGTATCATGCTCTTTCTCATTTGCCTAGATTCTTATTCAGAGAGCTCAAAACCGAAGAAACCGTTTTATAGAGCAGATAGTGATGAAGAAAATGGTCCTGGAGCAACTCAAGGTAATGTGAGAAAGAGTTCGTACAAAGAAAGAAATTCCAAATCAGAGTAACTTTTAATATCCAAAGCGTTATGAATGATGTAAGATTTTCATTTCACATCCTAGTGATGCTTCCTTCTGTGTAACACTTGGACATCTTGTGGTGGAAGAGTGTCATACAATCTCATATACAAATGCTAGTTTTCTCTTCTATATGAGAAATTCAAAATAAATGTTTGCTGGTAGTTCTGCACACATTTCACAGGATACAGTCACATGAATCCAACAATGTGACACTGCTTCTCCCAGACTTGCAACCATAATAGCCTGTAAAATGTTGCCCTATTTCTGAGACAAATGGGCAGAATTAAAACAAATAGGAACACTGGTGTACAATTTGAGCTGATCAAGGGATCTTAAACCAAGTGATCTGATGAAAATACAGATTCCTAGCTGTGGGGTTTGCCTGGGGGTGTACATTTGCTTTGTTGGTTGTTTTGGGTTTTTTTTTAATAACTTGAAATAGGTAAGGGAGAACAAGTGTTTGGAAAAGAACTGTATTTTCCTAGAGCTGATCAAAAGCTCTGTTAACTATTGCCTGGTGTCCAAGAGATCAATTGCCAAAGGTACAAGCAGTTTTGGGCCTCAGTTGCCCCTATCTTGGACTCTGCTGCACCATGTCTTTATTTTATACTGCTTTTTATATATTACGGACTTTCTTTAGCTAAAAAACAAACTAAAAGCTTTTCCTCACTTGCTTTGAAGTGTTTATAGAGTATACAATTATTTTAAATAATTTCTCTTTCTCTTATTTAGATTGAATATTGATTTCTAGGTAAAAAGTGAAACAGGAGTGCTTTGATTTACCTTTATGCTTATGCATTTATTATTGGTAAGCATATGTATATACAATAAAAGTGTGTACACTAACATTCGCTGAGGGATGGATTCCAGTTGGGTACAGACATGTCAGCATTACAGCCCTGTGCTGCTGGATCATCAGCTACTGCTTTCCCTAGTGGAAGTCAATACCTGTACTGTTCCAGAGACCTCTCTACTGCCTGAAAATGCCCCGGAAGATGGTTATGATGATGTGGCAGAAGCTCCTGGACCTAGAGACGCTTCTCTTTCTGAGCACAATGAAGAGGAAATCATTGGGATCCCTGAAGAAAATGACAGAAACAAGGATTCATGGATAGGTGAGGCTAGAAGAACAATGCTGTTCTGTTCTTACAGCCAGATAATCTACACCTGTGCTCTGCTTTCCTTACATCCATAAAATTCCTGCCTGTGACCAGCTCAACCTGTTTCCACTGCCACAAATTAAAATTGTTACTTCTTAATAGAATGACCACGGGGACAGAGGGTTGCAGTCATCTTTGTAACAGCCTTTTAAACACTTGAAGACTGAGAACAGTTTGTTCACATACCTGTCCCCAGTTCTGTTTTGTATTTTGTTTCTCCAGACAGCCACTAACCTATATTAGTCAACTTCCTACTTAGGCCTTGTAGATTACATTCTGCTCATGATGTGTCTTCACTCAGTCCATGTCAGTAGGTCCATATCTTCCAAAAATTGTTTCAAACCCAAAACTTTGGTATTACTTTACAGCATGATACTGAGATCTTACTAGTGTCAGAGCAGAAGGACCAGTTCTTATTTCTTACAGCATATACTTCTGTTGATGGATGCGAGTGCAATACTTCCCTTTTTTCCAACAAACGTGACAGGCTTGAGAGGGCTCAATGTCTGCTGCAGCTTCAAATCATGCTCTGTAAAATACTGCATATCATTATACATGGATTTTTCAAATTATGCAATTGACTGTTTCTCCATCTACAGTCTCTTAACAGTCCTTATTAGATCTCATTCTACATCCATGGAGGACGGATTCAGCTAGGTTTTTAACCTGGCACTAAATTTTGTCAGGCCCATATATATCAGTAAGAATTAACAATATAAATATTTAATTAAATAATTAAAGATAAATATTTAAGACAGACTTTTCTTTATCAATGCATTTGGAAGGTGTGGAACACCTTCTGATCTGAACTGTACTTTTTGGGGTAGTGATAAATATTTCTGGCCTATTTGAGACATGGAGAAATAATCAAAATATAGGACTCAAAGCAACTAGAGACATTTGACTTTTTTTTTTTTTTAAATAGCCCCTAAGTATATTCCTTTTAGCATTGTGTATAAAGCTTGATCCTTGGATATGTATACACACAGCAGAAGGCAGAATGACATAAACATTTCTCATGTCTCTCACAGTCACTCCTATCTAAAGTTCTAATATCTGGAGGAGACAACTGACAGCTGCACAACCACACAGAGGTAATAGGTACAGAATATGCATTTATCTATCTCAGTGTTCTTCCCTTCATGTTTTCAGACTGGACTCCCAGAAACAGGACCTCTGAGTCTGAGAGACCCTCATCCCCTGCTCTTGAAGATACAGGCTATGACGACATTGAAGAGCTGGGGCACTGATAGAGACTGCTGAGCTGTACTGACTTCTTCTGGAAATACATCACTGTTCATAAAATGCTGATCCTGTACTAGCAGAACCAGAACAACCTGCATTTAGGATTACCTTGCATAAGTTTGGCTTATTTTCAGAGAAGAGATTATATACATAAAAGATAAACAAGCCTGGCTGTTAAGATAATCTTTCAAATTTCTCTTACAATTTCTTGTTGCTAAGATGTAGTGGACAGTTTTTGCTTTTATTTTTAAATACCTTAATTTTATTTTTTTCCTGAGTTAATTTTTAAAATGATGATATTTTCTTATTATAGACTGTCTAAAGATCTCAAATTTATGCTTTTCCTCCCAGATATATGGGGACAGCATCTGGGAATTATTTGGAATGGAGACTTGTGTTGGTTTGAAAGTAAAACCAGTGCGAGACTCCAAGTCAGCAATACAATTTAATAGGAGAAAAGAGAAAAAATAAAATACATGCAATAATATAAAAGAAAAACCACCAACAAAGTCAGAATACAACCTGACACCCTGTCAGTCAGGGTGTTGGTAGCAGTCCGTATAAATGGTGGCTGCAGTCCTCCTGGATGACAGATGTGGTTCTGTTGAAGCAGTGCTCCTGTAGAAGGTGCAGTTTTCCTCCGAAGATCCAGCAATGATGTGGAAAAAGGTCCGACTTTCCTCTGGGATCCAGTAGAAAGGTCTGCCCTCGGGTCCCAAACCCCAGTTTCTATCTAGGTAGGAAAGGCTTGGCTCCTGCCCCTGGTTGGGGCATCTCCCAATGGGATGATGTAATCTTATCAGTCACACAATAGGACTTAATGGCCCATTAACAGAATATATCTTCTGGAGGAAGGATGGGTTGTGAATAGATAACGATGATCATTCCCCGATCTTATCAGATGGCACATCAGCAGAGGATATCTCCCACAGAGATAAGGATCACCACCCCTCCCACATTTTAACAGATGGTGATAGAATACACATTTTTGCATTGTACCCCAGGACAAGACTGAACTGCAAGAAAATCATCAAAATTCTGTTTCAGCCAAGTGTTTGAGAAATTATTGCTGATTGCCTTTGCAACAACATCAACAAGATCTGACAGGTGTGTTGCAGGCATGTTGTGAGGCACAGAAGGAGGGAAACATATGCACCCATGGGATTTAACTGCATCATGCAATCTACTTTTCCTGGCTCACTGACAGGAAATCTGGGAAAGTAGAACCTTTTTGCAAGGAATAAGAAAAGGCAGAAGGAACTGATGGGGGCAACCAATTCTATGCCAGAAAAGGTGTAGCAACCTATTTATTCCTGTCAGAACTATCTACACAGGACAGAACTTGTCCTCTCCAGGTGCACGAGGCAGTGATCAAGAAGAAGGAATCCCTGGGGACTCAGATATGGCAACAACTGATGTCATAGGCGTGATCCAGTTGAGCTGAGAGCTCCCCAGGTGACTGGGGTATATAACCCTCAATTTGACTGAGTAAGTGGACTGATATTGGGAATGTGTTAAAATTTGTAGCCAAACTCTTATAGCATTCTGCCTGCACCTGAATGGCACCTGCATAAGGAAATTTTTAGGATACTTGGAGTCATTGGATTAAAATCATATTAACAATAAAATATTAATAAAAGATGTAAAATGGCTTAACTGTGGGACCTATCAGGCAAAGTTTCTCTTCTAAGGAATGAATGATGCATACAGGATGAAACCCAAGAGAATCGGGCTGCAGCTGAGCTCATTATAAATCCATCCTTCAAACTTTAGAAAAATACAGGTACAAAAAGAAGTTGTTTGTTAGTGGGGTTACAGGCAGCAGTGCTTGCTGTAGTCTGTGTAGCCAGCTGTGTTGGAGTCACCTCTTTGTGTACATAATTATCTCTCTGGGACATACTCTCAGCCTCAGTACTGGCTGAACCAGCACTTGGGAAAGTAGCAGTCACATCTATAGGCTCCAGTGGCCTGAGCAGAGGAACCCACAGACCCCAGAGGATGCCTGAAGCAGTGACTTTTAGCAATTCTTTGAAGTCACACTCTGCAGTAGTTTTGACCCTTGAGAAAAACATAAGGCAGGATTTCCCTTTGGATAAGCCCTAAATAGAATTTTTACTCAGTCACTCATTCATTCTTTTTGCCACCAATATACTTAGTAAAGACTTCACACTTAAGTTTCCCAGCTCTCCCCCGAATCTTTTCTTAACGATTGGCTCACCGCCCGGTACTCAGGACTTTAGTGAGGGGTTACAAACTGTTGTTGGCACTTCAGGTTTTTCATTCTTGAGTTAAAGTTACTCGTAATTCATTAAGCTGCTTTGCTAAAAACAAATCAAGATTATGGCCAAAGGAGGGATCCAGGAGCACGTTCCAGATCACATCAGGACTAAAAGGCGATGCTGCGCTGGGGAGGGAACCGCGGCAGAACTAGAGCGTTTTGGGATTGCACATGACATCCTGTGGGACGGGCAGCGGAGGAACCAAAGCTAAGGAAAGGGAAGTGCTCAGGTGAATGGAGGAGGAACAAGTGTGGGGAAGTTGGAAGGCAGGCGAATAAAAGGGCCAGCGGCACGTAAATCGCTTGACGGTCCGGCAGGGGAGCCGTACTCCCGGGAAAATACGCTGGAGTGCTCCGCGGAGTCAGCTCCCGGGTTCCCTCCTCGGGAACCTGCTCTCCCCCAGCCTCGCCATGGACAAGGGCACAGGCTCCCTCCCGGCCCCCTGCGATCCCACCCCTGCTCATCCCTCCGGGCCGGGGCTGGCCGGAGAGCCGGCGAAGCGAGCGGCACGGCGGTGCCGAGCGAGTCGCGGCCGCGGGAGGCGGAGCCGGGGCCGGGCGGCGGAGGCTCCGTCCGAGCGGCGGAAGCGCCGCCCCGCTGCCGCCTCCCGCTGCCGCCTCCCGCTGCCGCTGCCCCTGCCTGCCCGGGGCGGTGCTGAGACCGCTGGACGCTGGGGAGCAGCGGCACAGCACGGCACGGCGCCAAGATGGGCCGGACGGTCGTGGAGCTGTTTTACGATGTGATCTCCCCGTACTCCTGGCTGGCGTTTGAGGTGAGGGGTCGGGAGAGGGAGGGACGCCCTTCCCGGTCTCCGCCGTGCCTGGCGCCCGGCCGGTCCCGCCGCCGCCTCCCCTTCGGAAAGGGCTCTCAAGGGCACCTCGGCCGGCTGGCTGCAGGCCTTTGCGCCCCGAAGTTACTTTTTCTATCACCTCTGAGGGATGCCTGGGCTTCACCGCGTGTTGAAATCCAGGGATACCAGGGAAGCGCGTCCGAGCTAAACGCCAGTGCAGGAGTTAGTGCTGAACATTTTGCTGCGGGAGTAGTTTTCAAGTTTAACAAGTGCGAGTGTCCTGATCGTGACACGAATAGAGACCCCTCAGTTTTTCTGAGATCAGAGTTCTCTGTCAACATCCAGGAAAGGTTTTAGGACTATTTCCTGCCTTAGCTGCACACAGCTCTACAGACATCTCTGACTGAATCCCTCACTACTTTTCCACATTACAGGCTCTCTGCCGGTACCGGCACATCTGGAATATTGACCTGCGTTTCCGTCCAGCTTTCCTTGGTGGCATAATGCAACAAACTGGTATGGAGTACAGGGAGATTAGCTCTAGTGTGCCAGCCCTTGGTGTGTGCAGAGCCCACGCAGAGCCAGCTCTGAACTAAGTTGTGGCACCAGTAACAGATTAACTGTAGGACTTTGGAGCTCCAAGGGATTGAGAAATTAGTCATAAGGAATTTCGCACTGTTGCAACTACAGAGACAGTCTGTGCCACAGTTCCTAAGTTCTAAAATACAATAATAATAATAACAGCAACAACAACTTCTTGATATGGAGTGTTTTCCTAGAGTTAGATTTTAAACCAGAATTAATTTGCAGAACACTTGCACTTTGTAATAAGCAGGAAGGATACGAGTACGTTCTAGAACAGTACTCATGGCCTTAATTAGATCAAGACTCATAAATCATGAATTAACAAGTCTTTACATTGGTTTACCCATGCATTAAGAGTTGTCCAGCTTAAAAGTCATCTGCCTGAATAAACGTAAATTGTGGCTAGGACATTTGTACCTTGGTTTAAAACTGATTCAGCTATCTTAAAAGATTTGATCTGTGCAAAACTGAAATAAACCATGTTTAAATCAGTATCTTTAGAAAAGCCAAGTATGTTTCAGTAGGTCAACATGAAATTATACTATGAAATTATACTCTTCCTTAGGTATATGTATATATGAATATAATTTGTCCAGTGTTGCTTTGTTCAGTGTTATTATAATACAGCTGGAAATCTCAACAGAACTTTTTCCTAAAAGGTAACAAGCCACCAGGCATGTTACCAAAGCGAGGTGAATACCTGGTGAAGGATGTGAAAAGGATGGCAAAATACTACCAGGTGCCTCTACGCATGTCTGCAGATGCCTTACAGCAAATCATCCGCACAAGTAAGAGTCTTACCTGGTATTTCTCATCCCGACCACTTCTGGTTCCAGTTCTCCCTAGCAGTAAAGGTGAAGATGAATTCCCTGTGTGCAGCCTTTTCCTGAACCTGTGAGCAGTATGAAGTCTGTGCATTCATAGCCATAAGAGAAATTTCTGGAGAGATACGGCTGTGAATGATGCTGGGAGCGTGGGAGATAACTGTGGATCAACATGAGCTTTACTGTGCAGACTGGGGGTTTCTCAGGACTGCTACAGGGGAGATCACACTGTTCTTAGGTAGCAGTCATGCAGACCACACCTGCTCCTGATGCTGTGCCTTGTCTGAGTGTTTCTCTGTCTCCCCACGAATCCAGGCAGTCTGACGGCCATGCGCTTTATCACAGCCATTGACATGACAAACCCACAGTACCTGGAACCCTTATCCAGAGAGTTCTGGATGCGGTTTTGGTCACAGGTCAGTATTTTATACAGCCAGCTTCTTGACCCTTTCTGTCACCCTTCCTGTCCCACATCATTCAAATGTGGCACTCCAGCAAGAGGAAGAAAATGTCTTCATTAAAAGTCATAGCAGGAACTTAAGGTCAGAGTGGTTCAGAAACCACTAGCTTATAATCAGCATAATTTACCTTCTTTTAGGTATATATGGTGGGTCCAACAGGTTGCACAAGTGAATCAGTGGTTCATATCAGAAAACACTTTAATACATTCCCAGATTAGGTGACTTAAGACCTTTTCTGAGGTAATTTCTCCAGCAACTGGTACTGGGTTTATTTTTGTTTTCTTAGAAAACTTGCTTTCAAATCCAGAACTGAGCTTTTGTTTCTTAAATACTGATTTACTTATTTTATTCGTTTACCAGCATGAAGATATCACTCAGCCAGAGAACCTATTGACAGTAAGTATCTCCTTTTTTCTTGGTGCTTTTCCATTTCTGATAGAGATTTTTATTGATGATTTTGATCAGTAACAGACATAAAGACACCTCTGCCAAATGAACACTTGAAGTATTGAAAAATTTCAGATAAAAAAGAAATTAATTTAAATTCCCTTGTAGCTCTGTTTGGAATTTTTGGGGTTTTTATTTTTTCTTGTCACATTTTACGTTAACACTCAGAACCAGAATACACATTTTTTTTGTTAATTCATGTGACAAGATACCCAGGCTGGACAATGAGTTATCTGTTTATACTGTTTTATTAACAGTCATGAAAGTATAAATAGTTTCTTCAGAATGCATTGAGGTATTGCTGCTATGTGAAATGTTCAAGTGAAATGCAAGACTTGGGGGAAGGTGAAATTCCTTAGAGGGATGGGGTCAGATTTTCTATTAAGCTCAGTGCTATACTGACTGCCCTTTTATATACCTGGAAATTATGCTCTTGATGTATTTTCTTTTGCGGTTTCAATTTTGTTTATTACAGTAAAAACTGTAATGGCATGTAAGTTAGTATACCAGGAGATCCTCTTGAAGGTCTCTCCTTTCTTCATTATTTCATAAGTTCTTGGAATATGAAGAAAAAAGAGGAGTTGTCCATGACTAATCCTGTCCAACATCCCTAGCAGATATCTGAAACTTGCAGTCTTGGTGTTCCCCCCCAAGTCTAGTCCTTCAGGTTCATCTTAGTGTACCTTTTTAACCAAAATTTCAGCAAACGTTTGAATTTTACCTTTCTAAGAAGCAAGATTTGAAGGATATAATTAAAGTGTGGTACTTTCACCTTGATAGGCAGCCAAGCACCACACAGGTGCTCACTTGCTTCCTCCTACTGCCCAGGAGGACAGGGGAAGAGGAAAAGAAGAATAAAAGCCAGAAAACTTGTGGGTTGAGATAAAATTACTAAATAAGCAAAAGAGAAGTGGAAGCAGGGTGAAAGAAAACAAAGAACCACCTACACATAGACTGATGCTCAGCCAGTTCCCAAGAAAAAGGTTAACCTGCCTGAAACCTCTCCTCAGCAATTACTGCTGAGGATGGCATATGGCATGGTCTGTCTCTTGGGTTAGTTCAGCCTCTGGTGAAGCCCCAGTTTATTCACTGTGGGGGGAGAGTGAGAACCAGAGACTGCCTCAACACTGTGGAAACACCATTCATCAATAGCTGCAATAATTAGGATGCTGTCAGCATTGTTTTGGTCACAGATCTGAAACACAAAACCATAGGAGCTGCTGTGAAGAAAAGTAGCTCCATTTCAGCCAGAGCCAGTACATAAATATATACAGAACATTGTCACATAGTCTCTGAATCCACCACTATTTAAATAAAGCACGGACATGCAGAACTTCAGTGTCACAAACTTCATACTCAGAATGACCTCTGATTTAGTCACAGTTTGGCAATCGATGAGTATCCCCCCCTGTCCACAAAGGCAGAGAGGGAGGTGTCCCCTTGTCTGCTTGTGTCTATCTTCATTCACTCCTGCAACAAGTACTAGACTTTCCTCTCTTCTGGAAGTTTGTCATCCAAAGGTGGGTGAGAGGTCTCAACCAATCATCTGACTCTTTATAGGTGAATTTATTTTACACTTCAGTGAGAAAAACTGAACTTTTTTTTTTACTTGATAATAATTCCTTAGAAGTTTTTTACTTCTTTATTTAGTCAGCAGTAGCTTCACATAAATTACTACAGCAGCAATGTAGGATCTGAATTCAGCCCCAGTCCAATTAAATCCTCTTTCTGCCCTGAAATGGTGAGGACCAGGTACTGTGTGAATACTGCAGTCTAAACACTGTGGCTACAAAGCATTTTGTTCTAGTCCAGTGGTACACTTGTTTAACCTCTCCTTCAAGCACAGTCAAAAAGAGCTTCTCATTTCCCTGATGTGTCAAGTAGGAGAAGGTACATGAAAATGTGAGTGCTAAACAGAAAAAGTAATTGGAAAAAAGAGTCACTAACACTTCTATGTGCAGGATAACTTGTCCATGTGCAATATTGTATTTCTTTATTTTTGCTTTCTTTTAAACTTTTTTTAAAAAAACAATACTTTTTTCAAAGGGTTATTGTAATTCATTGTTACCAGGTAAACATTGGACCTTTAACTTTGGCTACTTTGTCTCATTCCTGTGTGGCAGAGGCTCAGGGGAGGTGAAAGAGATACAGCAGTGACACCAGCAACTGTTCAACCTCTGTGATTTAGTGTTTTTCATGCAGTGCCACTTACAGATCCCACGTGGCCAAATTTGTCATACAAACCGTTTCTGTCTTGCTAGGCTTGTACAGTGAGATTTCATTTTTCATAACACCGGTTTGAGGTTTTTTTGTAAGTTATCTGATGAGTCGTATCAAAGTTTCTTCCTTTTTTTTTTTTCCTCTGGTTTAGGAACTACTGGGGAAAAAAAGTGTAGATTTGGGGCTTGGAAGATTTAAAATGTCTCTTCTACTTTGTATGTGAGAGTTTTAAATGATGAATAGCTTGGGAATACAGCGAGACAGTTGTGCAAGAAGTGCTTCAAGAGTATTTTGACATTTTTTTTGTCAATAGACCTTAGGTGATAATACTGAAGATTAAATTAATTTGAGCAGGGTAGGAATTATAATATTAACTTTTAGAGTATTCTTAATTATATCATCTTTTCACAGGTTGCCCGACAAGCTGGGCTGTCAGCAGAGCTCTCCCAGAAGACACTTGAAATGATTTCATCAGCTGCAGTGAAGGACCGACTGAAAGAGACAACAGCTGAGGCGCTGAAATATGGGGTGAGATGCTTCCAATGGCACTGGGCTTCACAGCTATGCATTCCTGCCCTCTTAAGAATACAGAGAAGTAAGGAACAGTGAGAGTGATGATTAGGAAGCACTATCTGTTGTTTTCCACAGTGTGAAAGCCACCTCACTGTTGGTGGTAGTTTATCTCACTGTCATCTGAGAAAACAAGGTTGACCCACTCAGCTCATTCCAGCTGGACAGTAAGGACAGGAACTGTACTAAGAGATACCATTTACTGCTACTTGAAATAGAACTGTGGATTAATCAGATTGTTTTTTATAGTCCTTGAAAGGGGCACACAGGCTCTGGAGTCACCTACTTTCAGATCGATTCATTAGGCTTATCTTTAAGAATAAAGAAGGTAGAAAGAAGGGGAGGAAAAAAGTTAAAGTTGTTGGGATTTATTCCTTAAGATTGATGATATGTCTGCAAGAAATTCCCCCATTATAACATTCTGTGTTTCATCTCCATGGTGTCAATAGGCATTTGGGATGCCTGCTGTTGTGGCACATTATGAAGGGGAACCTCATCTGTTTTTTGGCTCTGATCGTTTAGAGCTGCTAGGCAGCTTTATAGGTGAGTCTACCTCATTACATCACTTTGGTTTCATGCTTTCACCCTCTTGGAATGAAATACATAATGCAGCTGAGTTTAAAGGGCTTTCACATGTTAAAGAATGTTGGTTATCCTTCTCCTGGAATGAAACTGCTGACTGAAATCTGTCTCAGTACACTTAAAATGACCAAATTATCCTTTTCCAAAACAGAAGTAACTTGAATTCTCCATCCTCTCTTGGTATGTTTCAAGGCTTTGTGCTTCATGTGCCAAAAGCTAATACTGCTTTTTTTCTTTTTTTTTGTCATTCTAACGTTTTCCTTTTTTTATCTGTTCCTTCTTCGTAAAAGCATATTATTACAGCTCCTCAGTCCATAACTACACAGCTGTTTAAAAGCTGTTCATATATTGACCATCCTTCTTTTCGTTTTTCTATTAACAGAATATACACTTTAAATTCTTTAGAAGATTGAAGTAGACTGTGATAAATAATAAAACTAAAGTCAACTGTTTTTATGAGTTAGAGGGCATTTAACTATTCATCTCTTAGATTTGGTGCTTGAGAGAGTGTCTCCATAAAGAGTTATGCACATAATTAATTCATGCATTTGTGGAAAACATTCAGAATAAAGTATTAATTAATGCAAATTAGTATCAGTCATAGGCTTAAGCAGAAGGGAAATGTTTGAGGGTTTTTTTAGTCTTCTGGATGAGTTTCTGATTCTATAAAATATTCTTGATGTACATGAGACTGAGGAAGAGTACCCAACACTCACTACAGTTGTCACTAATGCTGACTGGAATGCTGTGTCCTGGCTTCTAGTCTCAACTCCAAGGACTTAATGAGATTTTCTTTTCAGTTCTCTGACTCCACAGTCTTGCACCCTTTTTTTGCTTTTTTTTTTTTAACCCCCAGCCCCCCGAAAAACCAGTCCTAAAAAGAACTGATTTCTCCCTCATGCGGAGTACCTTGACCTGCAGAATGTCTTATCTGTAATGGAGGAAAATAATTCTTCTGTACAGTTTCAGTTGTGACTAGACAGTGAAAGATTTATGGAGCTGGCTGAAGCATACCAAACAATACAGATATAGATCTGTATTCCATCACCAGTAGTTACTCTTCACAAGAGTAGTAACAGTAATCCTGCTGCAGAAAAACGACCAGCCAATCACTTGTATGGATTACATTTTAACTGTCTCTTTTGTGCTGGTTTGTCTCGCAGGTGAAAAATGGTTGGGACCAGTTCCAAGCCCCAAGCTGTGAAAAGTCCCAAGGAAATATACAGGAAGGAAAATATATATATTTTAATCTTCAGTGATTATCTGAATGTATTCAATTGCATGGAGAGATGGCTTTCTCATCCTTAACGCTTTATTGCTTGGTCTCATCTCTAATTTTAAAGAATTTCAACGTTTGCCAGTAATAGCAGCCTGGTGTTTACTAATACAAATGTGCTCCCTTTCTTTCAACAGATTAAAGAGTAACATTAAAGATTTAACTTCTTGCAGAGTGAACATTCTTCTTTCCTACAAACCACCACAGTTTTCTTTCCTTTACCCTAAAAATACGAGGATTACATAGTTACTGGACTGGGAATCTCCGGGTTTCTCATGTCTTCCTGCTTGTCCTTTACAAACACACACACACACACACACAGACACACACACAATCTAAGAGAAGCTGGCCACATTCTCCTTTTATTTTAAGTCCAGTATACTACATAGACATAAGAAGCATAGGCTAAGATATTAATGCTTCCTTTTACTTTGCATCATGGCAGTTGGAAAGGACACAATTCAAGCCCAAAGAAGAGTCTAGAGAACTAAATAAAGTATTTTAAAAGGAACTGTCCCCATCCTGGACAATATTTGATACACCTTGCTCTGCAGTAACTGGTATTTGAAAAAACCACCACACACGTGTATTCTTGGGCACCAACCCCAAACCTTACAGGGGTTTTTAAATAATGCAAGTTTTACAGTAATGTCTTTGGAGGACGGTGGTGAACACCACTGTAGGTTCAATTTTAACTGAAGAAAACCGTTTTGCTTTCTCAAGGATGCCCTAATTGCTGCCTACCCAAAGGTGTGATTTGGATATAGCTGTGAGGGACTTCCACTCATGTAGTCTGCAGTGGGAAAGGTTGCAAACAGTAAAATTAAGACATTTCACACGGAAACAGTTCGAACCTGGCCCTGTATCAGGTGAATTGGAGTAATACACGGAAATTTGATTTATATGAAGTCTGATTTCTTAATGATTCCACACTTTCTGATGCATCACTGAATGAAACAGCAGCAGCTGGAATTCCTTTTTTGTCTTTTTCTGAACTTTAAGGTAAAGCATATTCATGTATTTTCACTTGAACAGCAAATCCTGGAACAAAGCATCAAAAAAAAAATCTGTATCTTTCATATTATTCCAGCTGTAAGTGTTGTATCATTTGTTCCCCTATCCACAATTTTTACTTCTTTCAGCTCCTCAGGAAATACCCTAGGATTGGAGGAGTCCTTCCTCCTTTCTACCAGGGCACCCATTAGCCTTTGGGCAAATCCAGCCTGGAACTTAAGGAAATCTTTCTGAGAGATAAAAGGAGTTAGAATGACAAGGAAGTAACCACGCATGTACAGGTTTCTTTGAGTCCCTTGAAGCCATGTTAAAGAAATTTTTTACCATTTCTCCTGTGAAACTTGCTAGTCTAAAATCTGTGCTATCAATTTAGAGGTTGCGATAAAAAGGCATGACTAAAACATCACTTTAAGCCTGCAGTGCTGTCTCAGGAGTGAGTAAAATGTCCTTTTGTGGAAATAATGAACTCTGGTAAGGAGCTGGTGAGAATTCAAAGAACATCTGGAAATCCCACAGTGAAAAGCAGAGTCTTATGAAACTTTGTTCTTTGAACCAAATAAACTGAAAAATAACCAGCTTGTGGCAGAATGTTGTTGATTTGGCAGATGGACCAAAAGACATGGATCTTACAGACTGCAAATATTTCACAAAATTATCTTAACTGCTCTTAGACCTACTTCAAATCAGTGGAAATTAAAGGCTCAAAACCTTAGGTACTAAAATCATACCTAAGCACTATTGAGATACATTGCTTATTGCCTGTAATAGCCGTCAGTAAATGCAAAACCACAGCCTTTGCACTTGTACCAGTGAGTTTGCAGATTGTTGCAATTCTGACTCTGTACCTATTTTGCGCAAAATTTGCCTGTTTGGGAGCAGAACTTGGAGGGAGTTCTGCCCCTCGTTTAGACAACCTTCCTCTTGTTACAGAGCTGTGATGTGAGCACAAGCTCTTGGCAAACACTCTGGGCATGACCCCAGTAAACAGTGGCTGGCCGCTGCACTGTCATGCTCAGTTCTTTGTCATAGCACGCACTGAAGCAGTCTCCGTGGCGAGTATCAGCTCTCCTCTGATGTGCTGTGGCACCAGTGGCCACCACCACATGGAGCTGGACTGTTCACCTAACTGCTCTGAATGCCACAAGGTGGCAGGGCAGCTAAAACTTGAGCACTGAGGATCTAAACACCAACAATAAGTAAGAACGACCAGCAATTTAGGAATATTTAGGAATAGCTAGAAGAATTTCCTTCCATAAAGATGATACATCTACTCAACCATATGAGAGCCTCACATCCCCACCACTTTCAAAGCAGCTGTTTAGCTGTCAGGCCAGAGAAGATACCAAGCAAGGAAAGGGACATTGAGAAAAAAAGAGAGACTCTCAACAACAAAGGCAAAACAGGAGTATGAATTCTAGGGAACAAACCTGAAGTTGTGTTCCCCTTTGCTCTATTACAGACCTCACCAGGAAATCAAGTCCCACTTCCCATGTCTGGAAAAGGTGTGAAACTGGCAAGGACAAGTAGGTCCCGCCAATGCTAAGCTGAAAGCAAATAAGGAAGTGTACAGAGAGGCACAGCATCAGAAAACGAGCAACAGAAAGGGGTTCTGTAAAGTAATGAAACTATAAAAAGCAGAGGTTAGGCACAGAGAAAGGTAGGTTGCATCTGAGCAAAGGAAACTGAACAATCAAAGACAAGAGGAAGAAACTGTGCCTAGATTAGGGCAGAATGCAGAATCTCAATAGGAAATGCTGTTCCCTGAGAGGGAGAAGGCAACCAACAAAGGGAATGCTTAGGTAAATTGGATAGGCCAGAGTTGCTGGCAATGGAAGATCATTTGGGGAGAAAGGTAAAGAACTGTGTTTGCTGAGAGGCTGTACAGCACTGGCTGCACCGTCTCAGTGAGGCAGGGATGGCCAGGGGCCCGAGGCTCTCCTCCCCCCGTGTCCATTACCTGTGCTCCTCACCCTGCGTGCAGCAGACAGTGCTCCAGCGCTGACATCACACACAGCACAAAATGGAGGCCTGCAGAACAAGGCACCACTTTAACCTCCCCCTGCAAGCGCCTTCCTACTGCCCTTTCAACCCTCAGCAAGCAATGCCTCCAAATCAAGCCTCTCCCTTTTCTCCCATCCTTATCTATGTGCAAGTGAGAAGAAAATATTTTAATAAAGCACTTACGGGATTATGGTGCTGAGCCTCTGCCTTGCTGCTTTTTCCTTTTCCAGTGGAGCCAGCAACACTGCTGGAAGGAAGCAACCTGCTTCCTAGAAGGGAACCAAGCACAGAACAATAAAGAAATAATCAAGAAGATATCCCAGGAGCTGCACACATAGCTGGTTTTACCCCAAAAGATCTGTGTGTCATTCACATGTAAGAATGGAAGGAGTGTACCTATGCCCAAGGTGACTAGTGTTACCTTTACCTGTTTCTCATTCCAGCTCGAAGCACGAGGAAAGTGACTGCTTTCATTTCATTTTAAAAAAATATCATCAGCCACTGGTTCCAGACTATCTGAACGCCTTATTCCCAAGAATACACATCTGTGAAGCAGCCTCTAATCTTATGCTCTGACAGTGTTTCTCTTCCTTCTCCCTCTGTCCCCTCTCTTGAGATTCCCACATCTGACCTCGGGGTTTAAGGAATTTGCCTCTCATCACATATCAGCAGCTTGGCAAAACCAGGGATTCAATACTTGCAAAATTCACAAATTAAAAACCTTCTTTTGCTTTCTGTAATCAGCTTATATTCACCATATACATTTCTCAAGAAATGAGTAAGATGTCTTCAACACTACAGCCTTCTTAAACCATTCTACATTTATTCTTAGATGGTCATCCATTCTATGATTAAAATTACTAAATATGGTAATTTCATAAGCAGTATAGTTTGTGGGAGTTTATGCATAGCTGCATCACAGCATAAATCTGTATTATAACTCTTTTCTTTAAATCAGAGGAAAATGGAAAGAGTTTGAATTAAAGAGTTGATGTTAGTGTGGAATGTGCTAAGGGATAGAATGGGCAGGTGATGACATATCTACCCACCATTCAATCCGGAAAGTGAAGAAAGTTAATGAGGGATTCCTGCAGTACGATGGTAAGCTAAGATGCTTTTCCCAGGAACACTTTTTTCTTTTTTTTGTTTTTGACTTATACATGATCACACCAGTATTTTCTAGGAAACAGATGAATGCAACTATTTTTTCAGCATTTTTTCCGAGGTAGACTATCCCCTTTCCCAGAGTCATTATGTAATTTAAAACTGAGATTTAAAACCAAAAGTGGTAAATCACTGCCAAATGCTGCTAAACTGGTTTTAAACAACATGAATTTGCAATAAGAGGGTTCTTCTCTATTTTGTATGTATCCCAGTTCCACTATGCTGAAATTGAATTATTATGTAGGTTTTTTGTAGGAAATGACTAATAGGCCAAATAACTACATAAAAATACATCTAACACGACTGGTAGAGTCTAAATATTAAGGAGAGTTATAGCTGAATTTTTATCCTGCCCTTGAGGCTAGGGGGAAAGTCACCTCTGCCTCATGTGACATACACTGGCACATGAGACATGTTGGTGCTTTAAAGCCAACTCCGAAAATATTTTGCCAATGCCAGCTCTCTGTGTCATGATCTGGGAGAATAATGACCACACACACTGCTGACTTTTTTTTTTCCCCTGTAACTTTGCTCTCTCAATCTGAAAGGCAAATTGGAGAAGCCAAGAATGTGTACATGGGTTTGAAATGATGGATTTATTCAGTGTAGGGCTTTATTCATAGTGGGCTTGTCTTAGGTTTCTCCATTAAAAAAAAAAAATCAGTTTGGTCTGATTTTACACAGTGCATTAACTGTGGCTGAATACTTACTGGATAACTCAATAAAGGGCAAAACTAAACCACCAGGATACTGCTCTCTGTCCCCAAGGTTGTAAAACTTAGAAGTTATGCTGAACTTTACATTGCATCCTCTGTAACGCTTATTCTCAGTGATGCATATTAATGATTTATATACTGTGACACAGTAAAGAGTCAGCAGGCAGAGAAACTATCTGTGACGAGCAGCAGAGACCAATGGAAAGCATCCCTGCCTCCAGCATCCATAACAAAAGAGCAACATCTCCCAGAACAGAGGTCTCTGCAGATTATCTGACA